CTTTACATATCCATATTTGCATACTCTTTACTAGAAAGAGTTGTAGTAAAAATATTTTTGACCGAAGGTATAAGAAGGTTTGGATTTCAAATGGCGGTGTCATCTTGTGAAGGTGATCATGATTATATTATAAGAGTATTTACAAAGAAATTGTTGTCTATCAAAAGCTATGTAACAAAATAAAAGGTCAAAAATGAATATGTAGAATATTGTGTTTGAATGCTTCTGTGTTATTATTTTGCCAAAAAAAAAATAAAATTTGGGTATTTTATTTGTTATTTGAGTTAATATTTATGGATATGTTATTTTTAAATATATTATTATTTTTTATAATTTAAATATAATATTTACTTAAATAAATAAAATATTTAGAAATAGTAGATATATTCGCACCATATCTGATACTCCCCCCATCAATCTGACGTCCAAGAGGCTAGAGTCGTTTGCCAAACACCGGGCCGATAAGGCCCAACATCTGGTGCAGAACGTTTGGGCCCAAGCGAAAACGGGAATGCCTGTGAACTTGAGGGAGGTCCTGGGGGCCTTTTCGATGATGGCCCAATCTGCTGGCCTAACAAATCCGTAACTCTAAACAACGCACGCTGCTGCTCCTCCTCCGTCTCCTCTATCCGGTCAACATTCTTCCTCTCCTCCGGCCACATCTTCATCTTCTCTTCGTTAAATAAACTTAGATCTTGCTTTCTGGTTATTAAGATGTGAACATAATTATATTTAGAATTATTGTAAATATTTTATATTTTAAAATATTCTCTTTGTATGTTTTATACCTTAGAATATTCTCTTTGTAAATACCTATATATAGGTCATTGTACATACAGTATAATTCAAGAAAGCAATAAACCTTTCTTCAGATATTTCTCCTTCTTTTCAGTTTCTAACATGGTATCAGAGCAATAAACTCTTGGTTCTTTTCTCTTATCATCGCTATTGGGTTTTTTGGAGTTGGATCTTCAATTCCATTCCATTCCAGATCTGAAACTTTGTCATTGGGATCTCTTCTCATACATATTTGATTATTTATCCTCGATTCTCAGATCCTTTCTGAGGTATTTTGTTGGTTTGTTATTTTGATCTTGACATCTATTTCTCCATATTTTTAGAGTTTTTCAATATTGTGGGTTTATTGATTCTATGACGAGTTTTGAAAGGATTGTAACTCATCTTGCTACTGCTACGGTTGCCAAAGAAGTGATAGAACAACCTAATGTCAACCTTGAATCCCTAAAACAGGTGATATTAAATCTTTTTAATGCTCATACTGCCTTATCTACTGCTCCGGGTACCAAACCTTGGTATTTCGATTCTGGTTGTTGTAACCATATGTCTTCAATTATTGCTCATTTCTCTTTAATTATTGCTCATTTCTCCTCAATGTCACCTAATAATTCCTTTCTTGATATTTATTTTGCTGATGGTTCCCCTATGAATATTAGTCACATTGGTAATGTTTCTACAAAGTCATTGACTTTACCAAATGCCCTTTTAGTTCCAAAACTTAGTTATAATCTTCTATCTGTTGGTCAATTATGCGATCTTGGTCTTGAAGTAACATTTTCTGCTCATGGTTGTCGTGTGCAGGACCCACGGACAGGACAACTTCTTGGAACTGGTCGCAAGGTGGGGCGTTTGTTTGAGTAGGATAATAAAATGGATGCACCATCATTTCCAAATGATCGATTCATCCAAACCTTGCTTTGTGCTATTGAATTAGAGTCTTTGCAAATTCCATATCAACAAATCTTCCAAGTCTGTGCTGTTACTAACATTTCTCCTCTCCATTTGTGGCACTCACGACTCGGACATACCTCTATCGGTAAACTTCGTCCACTTATCTCACGTGGTTTATTAGGATTAGTTCTGAATGAATTTGTGCATTGTGTGTCATGTCAATCTGCAAAGCAACCAGCTTTATCTTTTTCGAGTAGTCATTCTCATTCTACTGTTCCTTTTGATCTTGTGCATTCTGATGTTTGGGGTCCATCTCCTACACCCACCATGGGGGGTTCCAGGTATTTCGTGTTATTTATTGATGATCATACTCGTTTTACCTGGATATACCTTATGAAAAGTCGCTCTGAATTATCACA